GGAGACACAGGGAGTGTGAGAGGGCAGAAGGTCAGTTCAAAGGGTGCAACATGGGAAATTTGGCCAGGACGCTGAGGTAACACGCCTTTCAAGACATTTAATGACCACAGTGAGTCAGGTCCTTGGCTATACGTCTCATCTGAAGGACAGCACCATTTTTGCAATCTAGTGTCTGCGTCACTATTCTGGTGCATTAGGACCCCACAGGCAACAGCATGAGTGCCCCCTACTGGCCCCACTTACAACACCTCCTGGGAAAACTAAAGTTGCTACTGGAAGTCTTCCCTCCAGGTACTGACGAGGCTTACACCTGCTTAGCTTCAATAGGTTTCAGTTGTGAGCTACAGGTTGATATGACCACATCTAAAGACAACAGTCCAATCCAGCCTGGAGAGTCTCAAACTGCTCTGTTAGTGCCAGTGTGACTGATTATAATCTCAGTTATTAACTAATCCATTTGCTGGATCAGTTATCTGCTGAATGGTAATTAGGAGAAGCATGTTTTGCCTGTCATTCCTCACCTTTCACTTATTGTACAGTTTGTCGGGAGGAGAACATGTTTCAATGTTCTGGGCAAACTTCTGTTAAGAAGCTACTGGTTCTGAGACAAGCAGGCAGTCTAACACAGCAGTGCAGGAGCACTTCAGAGAAGAACACAGAAACAGTGGGGAACAAGTCAGTGCCTGAACAGGCTGGGACACCTCAGCGTCACCCGCAAACCCAAAAAGAGTCAGTCTGTCTTCTTGCCTCTGGAGAAAGCGAGAGGGGTTAATACAGACACACTGACTGACTGGACACTACAGTACATTAACACTGCACTGAGAAAGAGAGAATTCAATTAATTTTATTGACAGAAAAACATGTAAATTTTAACTCTTGGAACCCCCCCCCAAAAAATTGTAATTGGAATACCAAACTTTCATTAGTTGCAGTTTTACACAGAATGTTTTTGAAATGCCAACATTTTTCAAAATTTGCCAAAATTTATAGAACATAAGTTCTGATGTTATCCTGCTCTTCACCAACCCTTCAAAAATCCTCACCATCTGTACAGACCCATAACCAGATTTTTACAGAGTCTTGTAGATGGAGAGTTTGTCGTGGCCAAGCAGAAGGTTGATGAGGAGGGTCTGAGTTTTTAGTTTTTTTGCATAACCCACCCCGAACATGAAACTAACTTCGTTGAAGGCCAGGCCAAGGTTGATAAAGAGCCGGATCAGCATAGGAAACATGACAAGGTAACAAGCGGTGACAGGTGCTGTAGCAGTAGATCACCGTCACTATCTGAGTGCAGAAGAGACAGTTATCAGACACCACCGGATCCAGAACCGACACAAACAAGTTGACCACCAGGGTGTTGTGCAGGACCCTCCACTGCAGATCACCAGCTCTCTTATTGAGGGGAATTGTGTACAGGCTGCCCTGCCACAAGTGCAGTCCCAGAGCAGCACACGCCCACTCTACACTGCGCCAGCAGCCCTGATCCATATCCAGTAGGTTATGGAGCTGTGTGACATTGACTTGGACCAGTCTGCTGGTAAAGTCCAAGCAGTGGCCCAGTTCTGTGTCCATTCTAGGATTGTGAACGAGTGGTTCTTGGAGTGTTCAGTTCAGACTGGGCTGTTTCTCTTCCCTCTGCACCTGCAGATGCCGTTGGGCCTCCAGGAGTTTGCGGTGGAAAGGCGGCAGTGGTGACAGGTCAACCCTGCTAATGTCCATCAAGAAAAGAACATGGTCGAGCCCGAGGTGTCCCGCTCGATGAAGCAGGGAGAAGGTCAACTCCCTCCAGGACAGCGAGGGCGTGCCATACGCCACTTTCTATGCTGCTTGCTGACGAAAGGCGACCATCCCCCTCAGGATGTCAACAGGTCTTTATCCTCCCTCCCTCCCTCCTCCCAGCGCAAGTAGAGGACACCACTCCGCAGCTAGTGCAGCCCTAACCAGAAGAAGGCGAGAAGCATCGCCTGCAGCTCCTCGACCATTCCTGCTGTTGGCTTCAGGAACACCACTTGGCAATACCAAAATGTTGAAGCCACCAGACTGTTGGAGCTGTTGATGTGGGTCTCCAGTGGGAAAGTCACCTGCAGGCTCTTTTCTTTAATGACCTCCAACACCGCAGCTTGCTTCAAACCCTTTGGCACCCATTAATGTTCAAGCTTCCTATTCTAATGTCGCCCATGTTTGTGGAAAAGAAAAAAAAAGAACAAAATAAAACACGAACAGACACACAGCACACAGACAGAACGCGATATGATGCGAGAGATGGTACTCAATCATGTTGAGGTGCATTCCACGGTCCTGCCCTGATCTTACTCATTAAGCTCTTTAGACGCCATCTCTCTTGATTGCTGAAGTAATTTGCACCCGAGCCCTTTCTTAGATGGTGTGTCACGGAGAGGACAAAGAGCTTGGTGTCTGCAAAAAAGTCCTCGACCACAGTTCCCCTCTTAATCTTCTCTAAAAACTCTGTGATGCTTTGGAAACTGTAGCCTCCTCTGTAGCTCTGCTGGGCTGAGGAGCCCGAGGCAAGGGAGGAGTCTGTGAAGCCGCCCTTGTCATCGCTCCCAGGCGTCCGAACTCCCCCAGTGTCAGAGTCGCTCGTTGCCCCTGGGCCAGTGAAAGCCACTCTCCACCAAGCCCTCCATGTTGTTCTTTTCTGCTCCGCACTCGGGACAGATTTTTTAATGCGCTTTCTCTGCGGTGTCTTGAAACCATAGTCTATTTTTTCAGATGTTAGCTCTTTTCCTCCCCACAGTGTGTCAACAGTTTTCACTGGCACTTGAGATGAATCTTCCTCGGTTGTTGTCACTGCCTGCTCCCTCTCACCCTGACTCTCTTGAGCAGCAGGGCTCTGCAGCTCCCCTGGTCCGCTAGCACTTGTGTCTTGCTCCCTGGTGTGGGGGGCTCCCTGTTCTTATATGGGCTGAGGCGGTCCAATCTCTCCTACCTGTATTCCTGTGTGGAACACCTCCAGTAATCTCCTCTCCTGCACCCCAGCTGTGGGCTCTCCCCGCTGCCTCCCTGCACTGCTCCACTCCCCTCTGCCTGCCTGCCTGGCCTCTGGTGCACCCCTGGACTGAGGCTTCCTCCTGATTTTTGTCCTCCGGGCAGTTCTTCACCACATGCCCCTCGCTCCCACACCTGAAGCACTTCATCGATTCCAAAGTAACGAATACCACATTATCACAGTTGTCAATTCTAAATTTAAGCGCCACATTGATCTCTTCCAGGGGGTTTTTCAAGATCACACACACTTGTCTTCAGAAAGAGACGATGTGCTTCAGCTGCGGTGCCCTGCAGCCCAGAGGGACCCTCCTGATCAGAGGGTCCACCTGTCTGTACCGGGACAGCTTCCTCTCCAGCAGCTTGTTCATCATGAACGGAGGCACGTTGGAGAGGGTGATCTTCTGGGCAGGGGCCGCACCGGGGAGAAGGTGCCATCCATGACAACCCCCTTCACCACTGGGGTTTTTGCCAGATCAGTAGACTGTAGGAAAACAGCTATCCCTCCACTCATGCAGGAAGCGGACTTGATGTCCACGACCTCCCCGACCGTATGTATGCATCTCTCCAGTGGACAGAACTCCACAGGGGATAATGTTCACACCATGGTGCCCTGTTAGCCTTTTAAATTAGAAGACTGGAGGATCAGAGCCCCCAGAGCTGGCTATGGAATGAAAATGAACCCATTTTTTACCAAACCCCTCTTTTGGTGAAAAGGAGAGTTGCAGACTGATCTGTCAGTGCCGGTGTGAGTCTCATTATAATATCTGATAACTAATCCAGCTCACAGCCGATTGCTGGATCAGGTAGCTGCCGAACAGTAGATAAGAGAAGCAAGTTTAGCCCATCTAGCCTGTCTTCTCCTTTCACTCAGTGGACAGTTTCTCAGGGAGAACAGGTTTCAAAGTTCTAGGGAACCTCCTGTTCAAACAGGAGTACAACATAGCCAGGTTCAGAGATGAGCAGGCAGTCAGACACAGCAGTATGGAAGCACTTCAGAGATGAACAAGTCAGTACCTAAGCAGGCTGGGACTCCTCTGTGTTACTCTCAAATCCAAACAGAGTCCATCTTTCTTTTTGGCTCTGGAGAAGGAGAGAGGAGTTAATACAGACACAATGACTGGACCCTACAGTATATTAACACTACACTGGTGGTTCGTAAAGAGACACACAACGTTTAAAGGAAGATGGTGAAGATGAACACTCAGAACAGAGCACTAGAAAGAAAACCCTCCAAATGGCACTCTAGCATAAGAGGCCAGCATATTATTCATTAGACCACTAGGACTTGAGATTGAGGTTCTGAGCTTACCACAATGGAGCTGGTCTTCTCTCCGTTTCTTGTGCTTTTTATCTTCTGCACAGGGCACATATAGCAGCAGGCCTTTGGGACTGGAGAGATGGGTTCTCCCCTGTGTTTCACTTCTCAGAAGTTCAGGCTTTCAGTACTTGACAAGTCTGGTACCAGAAATGGTAGAGTAAAAAGACCCTGTGCCGGTCTAAGAGAGAAGTAGTAAAGTCCAAAAACACTACGCAAAAATTCCAAATCCAATAAACGAGCAATAACTCAAAAAACCAGTAGAGGGCAGTAGAACGAGGCAAACAAATCCAAAGATATGAGGCGAGAGCAAGGAACCAGGAAAGAGGCGAAGGTCAGTAATAATCCAAAAAAGAAAGGAATTGGAGAAGTATGCGCTCTACAGAAGCTCAGGGAGACTAACCACAATAGTGAGCGAGGAAGAGGGGAACTAAAATAGTGAAGGCAGGGAAAAGTGATAGGCTAATCACTTACGACATGAGTGTTTGTGAAAGCGGGTGCACGTGGATATGTGAGAATGAGAGCATGTGGGAATAAGGGTGCGTGTGGAATGCGTTACACCTAGACACATCAAGGAAAATAGTGAAATGGTACGTAGAAGAGGTAAATGACCCTTGAGTATGGCTAAAGATGATCATCTTGAGCGGGCCAACTTATGTCCGGAGGGGTGGGCTTGCTTGATGAGGTGGCTGAGTGGTTAAAGCAATGGATTACTAATCCATTGTGCTCTACACATGAGGGTTCAAATCCCATTCTCATTGCTTGTAATGTTTGAGGTGTGTGCCCTTTCTAAGCTGGGTTGGTGTTCCTTTTCTCCTGTACTAGAGCACTCACACTTCTAGTGGTGGCTGAACAAGGCGTAGTAGGCTAACTTTAAGAAACATGTAGTCCATACACACTGACAGTATCGGTATCAGATGAGTGACTTTGGTTTAGGAACAGCAATAACTTTAATCTGGAAACAGGCGTGAATGCATTCATACAACTCTTTGGAGTGAAAAAAGTAAGAACTATGGATGTAAAGTCAACAGTTGCTTGAAGCAGCTAAAGACATAGATGACAGTGTTCCACTTAAATATTGAGCTCACAACCCTCAGCATGAATTGTTTACAGGACGGGAAGAAAAGCACTGCTGGGATTCGGATTTAGGATCTCCTATTTTTTAGGCAAACGCTTTAACCAATTAAGCCATGGCACCAGCGTAGCACTGCCCTTTTACAGACACTTGGACACACCGCTCCGAGACATTTGCGTTCACTGTGTGCTGAGCAAGTTGCCACCTTTACATGCAATAGCAGCACTGACTAAAATAAATTATGAGAAATAGCTTTTATCTGGCACTTTTCATGTCCAAGGAGCTCAATGACTTTTCCTTGTACAACAGGATATCTACTACACCCACCACTGATACACAACACAGGCTCGGTGGCTTGACATCTCACTAGAAAAATGTAGAAATCGCAGGTGAATGGATTATAATAGGCTAAAAGCAGCAACAAACAGAGACGTAAAGTGTTTATTTCATGCTGAAAAGAGAAGAAAGGAAGATACAGCACAGAATAAACACTTTACTTATTCCTTTGCAGCCCTACTTCACCTAACAAACTAATCTTTTAACATTTGGGTTAAATGAAGATTTTTTTCTGTATCACTTTGTATCTGTATACTTTATAATGGGTGTGCACACTTATGCAAACAAGGCAATAAAAGTTTTTTTATTATTTTTAATTAAAAATAATTAGTAATAATAATGTTCCTAAGAATGTTACATTTGTTTTTCACTTTAAAATTGTTGGTTACAAGATCTTATTAAATATGAAAAAAAGGTCTGTCATTATGTGTCTTGATGTCAACCTTTACATCAAAAAAGCTGAAATTTCAATAAATATCCACTGCAGATAATGACAAGATTAACTTGATTAATATTAATACAATAAATATGAAATGCAAGCAAAGTGTGATTCCTGTCTTTATAGCGTGCTTGTTAGAGAGCCAGCTGGCACCCAGTGTACTACAGGGTCTATTTACTGAGACTCAGTTGATGAACAACATCAGGAGTGTTCAGATCCCCAGGACATGATGAGATCACCAAGGTGTTCACACAGGCATACCAACTCAAACAGTGATCTCAGTCGCTCGCCATGATTATATAGTGGTCAGTGCTTTGCGTTGTGGCCACAACAACCCCAGTTTGAATCCAGGTCACCGCAATGAAAGTGGGTCGAGTCACTCACTTTTGCAATTTTACTTGATGGAAAGGGCAAAAAACCTACAGATGCAGGCATTCAAGATGCACGGTACAACCCCATACCGTGTGAAATTACCCACAGTTCACAGCTGTGTACCGCGGTGTGTGATTTGGCTGGCAAAAATGACCAAGAGGGGGACTCGTATTGCATCGGTTGTTAGTGAAACGATTTAATCATTTAATCCCTTTACTGTGCATGTTTTAAACATATTGAATATGTATATGGAATTTTACAGCTAAAGGGAAATTTTAATAGCTGAGCATAAAAAGAAGAGGAGCATAGTGTCTGAAGGTCATAAATTATATTAATTTAGGAACATAAACATATTATGTAAACTGTATGTGGCTGGTATTGGTAGTTTAAAGAAAAAATACACACCAGTATTCCACTTTCTTCCTAAACATTTTAAGCATCAAAGTCTTTCATTCGGTTACATACTGTGGTTATTTTGGAAATGTTTTTACGTGCTCCCTCTGACTATATTGAGTTTATTACTTTGTAAAAAGTTATAACGTTTTAACCTTTTCTGCAAAAACTTACGCCTGTATCATTAAAAAAACATACTTATTAGAATGTGATTAATAGGGAATATAATATGGAATCACGTATATAATGAAATTAATAACGATATAATTATATTCATATACTGTAGCCCAACTACTGCTAAACTACAAATTAGACACTAGAAGAGTATTATTGGACAATGTTGTGAGGCTCTGGTGAAATAAACTGAAGATTTATAGAGGGGACATATTGTGTATTGCCTCTTTTTACACTTTCGTTTCACAGTTACGTTCCAGTTAATGCGGCACGGAAGATATTAATAATGTAGCACTTTCAGGATCACGTGGGTATGCGTCCTACACTACTGGGGATTGTACATTGCTTACTGGGATAGGATCCAAATAATCTGTACTGGATTAAGAGATTAGAAAATGGATGGAAGTAAAGGCACTGTGTGGATGGAACTATACACAGTGTTAGAAACCCACTATGAGATGGCAACATCTCACTTAGGATAAATTATTTTATAGTGCTGGCTTAAGAAAACAGCCTTTCCACCTCTCCTGCCTCTAAATATAAACATCTTAAGATGCTGGCTCTGTGGATCATCATCAGCTATGTTTGCCCATTTCTTCAATTCATATGCATCCAACACACAGTTCAATGCTAGCAACTACACAAAATCTAAAATACAATCCTCATTTCAGTATTTATGTAAACACAGTCTGTTAACTTCATCCTCTGCAGTCTATAACATCTCCTGTCATTTTGTCAAAAGTATGCCTAACCCCATTAGGAAGTGTTCTTGTTATCGGTGTATTCCTCAACTTACCCCAAATTATCTTTATCCTACCTACATCTCTAGTCTTACATCTTGCAATAACTCAGCCAACACTTCAATTCTCAAAAACTGCTTGTGTTAATTTGTTCAAATCACAAAATATCATATGTAAATACTGGCCATGTAGTACTTTGTATTGTGGAATAATAGTTTATTTTAAAGGGAACTAGAGAAACTAGGAACTAGAGAAATCAAGAAAGGTTTTTTTCTAGAGTTAATAAATACACATCCTGTTCACTGGGGTAATTAAATCCACACTGAACAATCTCCAATATGTTCTGAATTTGACAGCCAGAATCCTGATCGGGTTGCATTATGCACTGGCTTCATATCAGGTTTCGAATCAACTTCAAAATCCTCATCCCCAGTCATTACCTATCTGGCTTATTATGTGTCTACTCCCCACTTTGCATCCTTTGTCCATCTGACTCTGGTATTCTAGCTGTCCTCATGAACATCTATATTCTGTGGGTGACAGGACCTTCCCTAGCTGCACCCCAGAGCTCTGGATTTGTATCCCCAGTGATATCAGAGTCACCCACCATGAGTGCACTTAAATCGAACCTCAAAACCTTTCTTTTCAGAAGGCTTATCCGAAATGTGTTTTCTCTCTTCTTTTTTCAGCATGGAATAAACATATTACTTATTCCTTTCCAGACTACACATGCTGACGCAGCTACCCACCTGACTTATTTAGTGTCTGCCTCTGCTTCATTTTCTAACTTCGGTAGCACATCTAACTGCTTTTCTTTCTTATATGTTTAAACTTTGTAATCTGTGGTCCTTAAAACTGTTTTTACACCTACTGTATTGCTTTGAGGCTACTTTTAAAGGTGCTTTATATATTTTATTATTATTAATGTTATAGAGAAACATGATCAGATTTTCCCTGGTTCAGAAAAAAAGATCTAAAGTATACTAGTTTGTCTCTCTTCTAACACCCTCTTTGCTAAATGGCTTTGCTTACTAATCTGATCAATCTAACTACTTATTTTCTGTCTTTTTTGTATCCTGCTAGATTTATAATTATTCTGAAAATTATCTTCTTGAAATGAGACATTTCTAAATACCTGTTTTCACTGTTAACATCTTGCAGCAACATTGCAACAAGATATACACTTACTGTAGCTTAACCTGACAGTTCATCCTGCTACCAACATTGAATAAAAAACTTTAGATTTCTATATTTATGTCTTTATTTAGTTATTTCATTAGTGACAAAAGGTAAACTTTCTTGAAAAAATGTTGCAAAAAACTGACTTGCTTTAACAAAATATATTTACATATCTTTTCGCCTGGCAATCTACCTAAATGCACAGCTATCTGAGAAGCCCTTCATGAATCCATGATTGTAGTCATATAAGGCTCTCTGACAGAATTGCTGTTTTTTATGTGTGCTTATTTTTTATTTCATACTCTCCCTGCCAGAAATGCACCTGATTATGCAAGCCCCTCACTCTCTGCCAAATCTATTTCATGTTTGCATGTTTTTTTTGTAACACACACCTTTCTGTGATTTTATTTTTGTACCTCTAAGCTTTTGCAAATGTTCCTGCATCCCTGTTCTGCAGTATGTCTAATCATGGCTTTTTTCTGTTTGCTTTTTGAAAGTCACACCTGCTCCATTTCTAAAACTTTTTGATCATGTGCATTTTTGTATTTTTTACAAACACCTCTAGCACTTTAACATCCTAAATTTTCATTCGCCTTAATTTGTAGACTGATTTTTAGTTTTAGCCTTAAAAAGATTGTTTTCTCTATCTTTTGTTTCTTGCCCTACAACTGTTACTATTGATCACCGAATTATTGCACTTGACATGACTTCTTTCATTCACCCTTTCCTGAACGTCTATGAGAAACAGAGATGGTGCTGTCTCTGGTGCGCTTTGCAGCTGAAATGTCACTGTTTAAATGAATAAGAAATGAGATTGCTCATAAATCTAATCACTTAATCTATATAAACACAAAATAATTGCTCTCTGAAAATGCTATTTTTCCTGTTCATTTAAAGTTATATCAATGGGAAGTGGTGGACGGTGAGCTATTTTGTCAGCAACCTGCTAATCTGCTTAACACCTGTAGAAAACATTATTTTATTTCTGTACAGAATGCATGTTGCATTTACAAAATTAAAGTGTTTCAAATGTTTTATTAAGAATTAAAAAGA